CCTGATCAGTTTTGACTTAACTTTTATACGTATTCCTATGAAAAAAATACGTTAGGCGGTTCTCGATTGGGTAAAAAATTAAAAAAAAAAAACTGAACCTACTAGTGGGGGATCTCGGGGTGCATCGACTTTACCGATTCTCTTTTGTGGTTGAGGTTTCTCTTTCGGCTAATTTGTACAGAAAATGACAGTAAATACAATGATCGAAAAATTGTGTGAAACAGAAAATGGGAAGGGACTCATTAGAGGGGTTTTAGGGTTTCGACTACAGCGGCTCCGCTAGGCTTTGCTCCTAGTTTTTAGCTCACCCACCATTCCTTTTGCTCTGATATGACAACAGGGAGACTTGAAATCGAGTTTCGAGTGGGAAGGGAAATACTTTACCTTTTTTGGTGGTCGCTGGTGGCTTCGGTGTGACAGCGACTAGGGGTCGATCTCCTTCTCTGATGTCTAGTTATTCTTCTCGAGCGAGGGTAGGTTCGACTAGGGTTAGAGTTCCCTGAGACGCGATGTTTAAATACTCATTTCACGTCAATCTGGATTGTTCGTCTGCCTCAACAGAAGTGGGAAGAGTCGTCTGATTGTTGCTTAGTTAGGCCGATCGCGTAGGTGAATTTGAGGCATTCATTGCGATTGATTTCGTTTGTTCGATCGCGCCTAAAGAGAAAATGCATATGAGCTGTCCGTGCGCGCGGAACGTGATCAGGGCCGTTGGATTGCCAGATATGCAAATCGCTCGCGTCATGTCGATGTCAGCGTATTTTGCCACGCAACATGCTCTGGTTCGCTGTGTGGCTGCTGACTGAACTATTCTATGTGGTCGAATTTTTTTTTTTTTTTTTACGATTTTACTTTTTAAATTTTTTTTAAACACTTTTATTAAAATTATTTTTAATTTTGTTCTTATTTTATATTTTTTTATTAAAATAAAATTAATTTCTTATATAATTTTTATAAATAAAAAAAAAAATTATCCTAAGACTCGATCTAAAAAATCTCAACTGGCGTAGACGTGTATATATATGTAACCATGCATTAGCGCATATATATATACACACACATATAGAAGGATGTAATAAAAGTGTAGGAGTAAAAAGAGGGGAAAATTATTGAGGTTGATTATACATGCAAAAGTCACATCATGTACCTTCAATACTATTAATGATAATGCTTAAATAAATTTATTTCAAAATGTATTAATCAAAAGAAGAAAAATTGTAGGGTTGTCTACATCTACGTTCATCAATTCAATAATTTTCCAAAAATTAAAAAAGGAAACACAAATCATGAACAATTAATTTTGTTATGGGTAGAAAATAATTATTAATTTTGAGAGGGAGGACATGAAGAATCGTGTTGATATGGTAATTGAAAGACAAGGTAGAGGACCACCAAAATTTAAGACAAAAGTAATTTTCTTTGGTGCATGGGAATTTACGAACGTGACCAAATCGTGGAATATTTATTATCATGCACTAAAAGACAAGTTGCAAGTTATACGTTTTGTTCTTGTATTTAATAACATTAAATTAAATTTTACAACCAAAGTGGTCAATTACATCCTCTTCAATTTGTGGATCCTTCATTTTTTTTTCTCTAAATATATATATATATATATATTGAATCAACTTCACTCACTCAGTATCTACATTTTACAAGTATAAGTTTATACCTTCACTTTGTCAAGAAAAAGTTACACACTTGAATCATGTTTAAAACAAATCCTAAAATAGTAGAGATATGTTTTACTAATTCACATTTATTTCAAATAGAAGAAGGTGTAAATGATATTACGATTAAATAAATCATATGAAATTGTAACAATGCCTTCTTAATTCAATCAATTTTAATGTATTCTATGCGGAATCACATTTTTATCATTTTAAAGCGGATGGACCAATTTTAATATAAACTAAATGCAAATTGTCAACTAAATTTTTTTTAAAAATATATTTTTTCAATTGGAGAGAAATTTAACTTATATAATTGGGGTTGTTAATATATATATATATATATATAGAATTGATGATTTATGAACATAATCCTAATTTAAAAAAAAAAAAAAGAAAAAGGGAAAAAATAACGAAATATTGCTATAATATACTGATTATAAAGCGTAGGCTTTCGGCATCATTTCTCTTATGTGATAACTCGGCCCAAATTCCACTAATACTTTTTCTTTTAAGCCCACGAAGCTTTTAAGCCTATAAATTTTTAAATGGTTGAATGGGTAAAATCCATTAGCAATTTTTATATAACATATCAAGATATTCGGTCCATTAACATACAAGTATATATGCATAATCATATAAATATATTATTATTATTATTATTATCATACTCTGTAAAAGAACACACACACACACATATATATATATATATATATATATATAAAGTTATAAATATACGAGGCAACCCAAGAGGAGAGGGGAGAGCAATGAATTGGGTTTAAAAAATATTTGGTTAAATTAGAGTGATTCAATAAGTGATAAAATGATAGAGGAAACATATTGAGTTAATGTTGAAGCTTTTGCTATTATTGAGCGGCTAGTGATGGTGATAAGACAGATCAAATATTAAAAACTTTCAATCGGAGTGTAGTAATGCATAAATAAAGGAAGAGAGATTGCGAAGGTTCTCTCTCAAGTCATTTATTAAAATATTATTTCCACTTATTTTCAAAAATCTAACTTCACCCTTCATAAATGTTAGTTTAAAGTGCCTAATTTTACCATTAAAAGTATAGTTTCTTTTTAATCTCCTATCTAAGAAACAGTGTTTCTCCCAGGTTTTTTTTTTTTGCACATGACTTGTTAAAAATCAAATGAATACTCAATTTCTAAGAAGTTTCCTACACATCTCCAAGACTTGTTAAGAACACATAATGAAAAAAAAATCAAACCTTCTAATCACAGAGAAGAGATAAACAATGTAATGCTAAAATATGTTATTATTAAGTTTGGGTGAAATTAAAAAAAAAAAAAAAAAAAAGATGGAATGGGATTTAAAATAAATAAATGACAATCAAAAGTTAAAATAATTTTTAGATATTTATCTTTTAAAATCATGTCATATTTTTACTGCCTTATGCAGAAAATATATTCTGTGTAGTAAAAGATAATTTTACTGCTTTTTCACGACACAAATTATTTATTTATTTATTTTTTTAACATTCTTTAAAAATAAAACTTGGGCCAGAATACGAAGACACACGGTTAACCCAAGCAGTATGTATTTATTGCTACACTTAATATAATAGGTTTTTAATTTTATATTGCCAAAAAAACTTTTTATTAAAAATACAAACACCAATGAAGGCAAAGAGTAGTGGGTTGAAATGGTACTTACAAACAAACACACTCCTATAATTTCGAATTCAACTACTACTCTACTCTGAGTGTTTCTACTTTGATTATTTAGACTCAATCCTTGTTAATAATGAATTCCATATGAAAAACGTGTGCTTTTTAAGATTATCCCAAAAGAAACATACCCCACCAAGCAAATAACAAATTACAAATTGTGTTCTATTTAAATAACTAACTAAATGCCAATTATTTCAATTAAACCCACAAATTTCATTCACTCAAAAAATATTCATTTACCGAAAACGTGTAATAAATTTGTTACAAAATTTGATCAAATATTGGAATAAAAAGGTGCCCAACAAAAAAAAATGTTTGGTCACGCCATCAGAACCTAACCAAATTTATAAAACAAATAATATTCCCAATTTAAAGCCCTAAATTGCAAATTTAGGTTTCTAACCAATCACCATCCTTCTCTCCCTAAAACACTCACCGCCATGAGGAAAAACGCTAAAGCAGCGTCCACACCCGCCATTCACTTACCAGCAACCCCCTCAGATTTCTCCTTCACTCTAACTAGAACAGCTGTTTCACAAATTTGCCGGTCCATAGGGTTCAAGACCACCCAGTTCTCTGCTCTCGAAACCCTAACCCTAATCGCCTCCAAGTACCTGCAAACACTAGCCAAATGGGCCTCATCGTGCTCACATGCGTCTGCCCGCACTGAATCTAACCTTCAAGACATCGTCAACGCGCTCCACGATATCTCTTCCCTACGAGGCTTCTCTGGCGCGTCGGATCTCCAACACTGCCCGCTCCGATCCACCCTTCTCAAAAACCTCTCCAGTTTCGTAACTTCCACCGCAGAAATTCCTTTCGCCCAGCCAATTCCAAGAGCGGAAGAGCCGGATATTCCGATTGGGCCAGCGACCGCGAATGTAGTGGACAACAAGAGGGGTGCCCATATCCCGAGCTGGCTACCGGCATTTCCTTTTCCGGCCGGGGGAACGTGCAATGGCAGTGACGATTTGGCGGAGGAGAAGGCGGGCTTGGTTTTGCAGAGTGGTGGTGTTGGGGGTATTTTGCCCAAGGACAGGGAGAGAGTGAGGTTTGAAGTGAGAAGGTTGGGCGTGCAAAACGGTGCGTATAGGGGTAGGAAGAGAGTACTGCGGCCCGATCGATGTAGTACTTCTGGTGTGAACGGGGGAAGTATCATCCAACCAGAGGAGAAGAAAAAGAAAAGGAATAAGTCTGTGCCTAAACGACTGCGTTTTTAATTTAATTTTAATATTCAATTTCTTTGGGTTGGTTTTGGAATAGAGGGATTTGAACCCGCGAGCTTATTGTGAAAAAGGAGGAGGCTATGGGTGACCATCAGAGCGTTTTGCTCTAGTAATTACTGAGAGACTACGAGACTCGTATTATAAAAATTCTGCTTGCTAATTTTGTAACAAAGAAATCTAACATTTTGCTTTATGATTAATTTTTTTTTTATTTCTTCTTTCTCCAGCTTTAATTTTTAAGAAGTTCAATTGAAATTTAATAATTAATGTAACAACTAGAAAAGACTGATGCTAAACTTACAAAAAAAAAAAAAATATATATATATATATTTTTTAATTGCAGTCAACTATTTAGTTTTTCTATCAATGTCAACAGATTACCATGAGTAGTTCAAATTAAAGTTTTTAAAATTTATGACTATTGAAACCATAGTATAATATTTCCTTTAAAAAATTATTACAAGATAATTTATTGAAACGATAAAATAATATTTCTTCAAAAAATTTCTTAATAAATTTTTTCTATATGTATCAAATTCATAACAAGTTAATTGAATTAAACACAAAATTTTATTCTTAAAATGTAATAAGTTGGTACTTTAAATTAAAAAAATATATTACCTCAGAGGCCAAAGTTACTGAAGATACTATCTTACTATTGAACCCAAAAAAAAAAAAAAAATATTGAACAACAAATTTTTGGTTTGAAGTACCAACTTGATACAACTTAAAATATTAACCTTTTTATTTGAATTGATTACATTGTCGTCAAGCATCAATTTGATATATCTGGTTAAATAGAAATTATTATTATTATTATTACTTTTATAGATAAATACCCTACACTTATATCTAGGAAATAAGTAAGGTAATTACGGTGAGACTCTTGTCATTTATATTAAATTAATCTACAATATTTTTATTAAATTAGCATAGTTTGTTTTTCTCATGTTAGTTGTTTCCACCCAGCGATGTTGGGTGCTTTTTTCATTGTGAAAATTTTGGCAATTTGAGATAGTGTTCTGACCTATTTTGACACAATTATGTTTATTCCTAACTGAATCTAACTACGTCATAAGATATTTGCTTTGAATTTCTTCGATGTTTCTTGGGTTTCGATTTCAAATTGCTGGAGCTGGTTATGAGATCTTTTGAATCATCTTTAGGCTCTAGAATTTAAATTAATAATTAGATCATGAGAATATGTGTAAGTGATTGATTTGAAACAGTGAATGGGACACATTCAAAAGATGATATTCACACCAATTTCATGTAGAGAATAACAAGACCAATAACCAAAAATCTCAAACCATTTTTGTAACTCCTTTCAACTCTAGCAAAAAATCTACAAGTATTAATGTTAACTTTAAAATTAACCTTGAGTAACGAAGAGGGGGAGATAGTGGACAAATGTATTTGGAAAAGAGATTAGTGTATATATATATATATATATATTTTAACTTCTTACAAGCCAGCTTGAAGTCAGTGAGAGTTTCGGCTTTGCAAAACATCTTCCAGCAGTTTATCATTTACTTTGATATTTGAAATCTAAGCCTGACCATATATTATTTTGTTCTTCTCAATCTTCCTTTAAGCTGTAAGCTTTTTGTGATGTAGATTGAACTAATTTTGTAGATTCCTGTAAATCTATTCCAAACTATTGTATTTTCCTTGGTGAGAAATACAAACTAATTTCGTATGCATCTTTTCTCTTCTGCTATGTTGCCTGCGATATTCAGACCACTATCCATGTTACTATCAATCCTATTTTTTATGAGCGGACTACACATATCTCAATTGATTGTTATTTTGTGACAAATCATCTGAATTATGGAACAGAGAAGCTTCTACCAGTTAAGTTTGAATGTCAATTAGCTCATCCCTTCACTAAGCCATTATAATCTCACCTATTTTTTCATTTACTTTTTAAGATGTCTATGATTGATATACATAGTCTATCACCCATTTTTCGTTCACTGATGCCTCACTCTGACAAGCTCAATATCAAAGATCAAAGTGCCCAATGTCGTACCTTCACCATTTGCAAGACGGGTTGGATTGAAAATGGTGGTAAACAGTCTCTGCCTGTCAAAGAACTGCAAAAACTATAAGCCGTAAGCAAGTAAATTCCATTTCTTAACAATGGAAAGTAACAAAGAAATTAGGAGGAAGAAGTTTTAGTTGAGAAATTGGAAATGGTAAAAGATTATAAAATGAAGAAAGAGACGAAATAGAGGAAGGGACAAGGAAGAAACAGAAAGGATGGTAGAGAAATATATACATTTGGAGGCAGAGGATGTTGAGATGTGTTCTGATATCCTTGTGATGGGGGAATAATGACTCGACGAATAGCACCTACCTTCATTGATCTCACAGCTGCTTCAATGCCTGAAATCACCTGCAATTTGTTTTCAACTACTAAAAACAGGCTTCAATTTTCTTAAGCAACCTTAATCATCATCTTGGCAAAAATTGTAAACATCAATGCTACTTGGATAGTCCAGTGTAATCAAACTCCTCAACAATCGATAAGTTTTTTGCTTTTGAATCATTCAGCTTATGTGAAGAATACATGAACGATTCTTTCCAGGAATGGAAGGGATCGCAGATTTAGAAGTATGGAAGCTAGAAAAAAAAGAGAACGTAAGTTACTTTTCCAGAGCCGAGGGTGAAGACAAAAGGAACTGCATCGCCATTGCCGTCTTTGTGATCGTACGTTGAGTCGAATCGCCATCCTTGTTTAGCCGCTAATCTTCCATAATAATGTATCGCTACCTTCAATTTCACAATACCTCCCCAATTCACAACCCAACCCTATGTTGTTTGACATTATTATTTATCTAATAGAGAAAGAAAGAATACCTGGTCGCCGTCGACCGGGACCGCACCAGAACCAAGGCGAAGGTCCAAGGCCTTGACGCCGCCTGAGTTAGAAAGGTCGAAGAAGTCAGTATTAACGGCGGATTTTGAAAGAGCAGCAAATAAGGAGAAAGTCAATGTAGAAAAGGCTGTGGTGGTTACGATGTACATAGAGATTGCTCTTCTAGTCGAAGATGCAGATAAACAGCAAGTTGCAGAAACTTTCTTTGATGGTCGAGACTGCAACAGGAAGGTGCAAAGGCGGGGAGTAGGGCAAAGTGACGGTAATGCAACGCAGCGAATCACCATTATAATATTCTATCTCTATCCACCTTGTCTTCAGCTGCTGCAGCTGAAAGGCCAAAAAAACAGCCTAAAATGTGGATAAAAAGGGAAGCGCGTACGCCGTCTGTGGGAATCGAACCCACGACCACATGGTTAAAAGCCATGCGCTCTACCAGCTGAGCTAAGACGGCTTTGCTTTTTCCTTATTTCATATTTTTTAAATCGTCTATAATAGATGAACGTGTGCTGATTAGACTTTGACGAGACTTTAATGACCGTCCAAGAAGGTTATCAAAGCAACACAAGTTCCAGCATTGTAGCCACGCATCAGGAATGGAGGTATAGTAAATTTTAGTAATTAATAATTAATGTATAATAATAATATAAAACAAAAATAATAAATTTTTTTATATTTAGATAATTATATATTAATAATAAATATTTTATCTGAATAATAAAATAATATGATTATATTTTTAATTAAATTAATAATTTATTTATATTTATTATACATAATAATAAATAATATAAAAAAATATATAATAAAAAAATATAAAAATATAATTAAATTTATATTTAAATAAATAATTATTATTTATATAAAAATAAAATTTTTATTTAAAAAAAAATAATAAAAAATAAATATATTTTATAAAAATATAATAGAAATAAAATTATTAATTTATTAAATACTATTGATTGCTTCAGTAATTTTAAAAATTATTTTAAATTTATCATTCGAATACCGAATACTGCTCTGCTATAGTGGTGAGTTCTTTTGAAAATCAAATCCAGTGAAGAACAGGAAACTATTACTGAAGAATAAGAAACTTGCAATTGGACAACGGAAGATCCCCAAGAGGAGAAGAAAAAGAAAAAGGAGAGATGACGATGGATAGCAGTGAAGAAGAAGATGACTTCCCATCCATTGAAACCGTCACACCTCAGTCCAAGATCGACTCCCTCCACCAGTCCTTCACCGAAAAGGTCTGCCTTTCTTCTCTCTGTCTTCAATCTTCCATTTCTTGTACCAAAGTGTAAAAAACATGGCAAGTGCGAAAAGAAAAGTCAATGAAGCTGCCTCGTTTTGTTTTGCAAAATAACAACCTATGTTTTATTTGTCTTCGAGATTCCGAGTTCAGTTTACCCATATATTTAATATAGTTAGAAGCGATGAGAACATCAATTTTTTCCCTCTTATCTCCAAATTAATGCGCAAAATCGGTTCCTTGGTGGCGAGGCATTTTCCTACGTCAAATTTAAACTTTGTAGAAAGTGAATGTGCATTACTGTTCTTCTTACTTAGGCTGTGTTTAGTTGAATCAATTGAAAATCCTGCCTTGTTTGATTGCGTAATGTATTTCAGTGTATTTTACCACTTCCTTCGGCTGTTAGCTGCATTCTATAACTAGTTTCTTTAATGTGATTTTGATTTTTGTAAGCAAGTTAAGGACAATTGTGGATGCAGGGAATCCGAAATCTTTGTTGTGAGCTGTTGGATTTGAAGGATGCAGTTGAAAACTTATGTGGAAATATGCATACAAAATACTTGGCATTCTTGAGGTAATCAAATGTCAGTTTATTTGTAAGTGATAAATTGAAAGAGAAGTATGATTTAAGCATTTTTGTGGTCCATGGCGCACTGATGCATGCAAAAACAGTAAAATTAGATTTTGTATATAGAGGTACGACCTAATCATTTCTAGCTAATGCACAGGATTGGCCCATTTAGCAGTCCAAGTATCGGCCAGCACTTTCACCTCTCAAGTGCCAAAAGCCTTTAAATAAGATGCTGGATAGCACCCACTCTAAACGAGGGATTAGAATTCAAGAACTTTCAAAGCTTTGGATCATAAAGTCTAACCCTTCATGTGATAAGAAGTTTGTATGGCACACTACTTTGTGGAAATAAAAATGGGTAGCAATTTGGAAAACGAAGGAGCATAACCTGTATTAGAGATATCCTGATTGAAATAATTGACCTAGGCCCTTAGCAGTCAACTTAAATGCAGTACCATGTCTATCTGATTTTGGACATTTGAATACGCACACAACTCATCCTTAATGCTATGCTGTTCCAGTATGTGCTTATTTCTCCTGAAAAAAACATTATCTGCTGGTTTTCTTCTATATCTTTATTCTCCATCCATGTTTATCTTTTGTTCTTGATGCAAATCACTTTCAACTAATTATCTAATTTAATTGGCTGTGTTGTCTGATTTCATAATTATTTTTCAATCATGATGATCTTTGTAGACTATCTGAAGAAGTTGTAGAAATGAAACATGAACTAATAGAGCTGCGAAAACATATTTCTGCCCAAGGGATTCTTGTGCAAGATTTGATGACTGGTGTATGTTGTGAATTGGAAGAATGGAAACAAGCTAATAACGGAGGTATTGATGAAACTCAGCAAGAACCTCAAATTTGTGAAGTTCAGGATCCACCGCCAAATGAAGCAGATGATCTGAAGATGATGTTCTTGGAAAAGATTGATGTTCTCTTGGCTGAACATAAGATTGATGAAGCATTAGAAGTCATGGATGCTGAAGAGAAAAATTCCCCAGAGCTGAAAGGCTCAGGAGATACTTCATCAACAGAAGCATCCTTGTACAAGTCTGCCTTTCTGAAAAGGAAGGCAATGCTTGAAGATCAGTTGGTTGGGATTGTTGAACAGCCTTCAGTAGGAAATCTTGAAATGAAGAAGGCGTTAACTAGTTTAATCAAACTTGGGAAGGGACCTTTGGCACATCAATTGCTGCTAAAGTGCTATGGCTCACGTCTCCAAAAGAGCATTGAGGTTTTTCTTCCTTCATGTTCTGTCTGTCCCAGAACATTTCCAGCCACACTGTCTAGGCTTTTGTTTTCTATTATCTCATTAACCACAAAGGAATCCAGTCTGATATTTGGTGACGATCCCATATACACCAATCGAATTGTTCAATGGGCAGAGTGGGAAATTGAATATTTTGTACGGCTGGTGAAAGAGAACTCACCATCTGCGGAGACAGTTTCAGCAGTACGTGCAGCCAGTATTTGTGTTCATGATAGTCTTAATTACTGCTCAATGTTGGAATCACAAGGCTTGAAATTGGCAAAGCTACTTTTGGTGCTTTTGCGACCATACATTGATGAAGTCTTGGAGTTGAATTTTAGACGGGCAAGAAGGGCAGCCTTAGACTTAACTGAAATTGATGGGAGCTTGCCATTGTCACCACATTTTGTTTCTCCATTATCTATATTTGCAATAGCTTCGGATGGTGTGCTTGTTGATAGTGGAATCAGATTTATGCAAATCATTCAAGTAAGTCAATGTGTAATTGTTCTTTTTTCTTTTTTGGTTTTTAGATCAAACTGTGATAATAAGCATCTTTTCATATTTTTTGTTTATACAATAACAGGAACTCTTTATTCTTTGTTTGCATTTAGAAACTATAAATCAAACATGTCTTTGACAGATTATACTCCAGAAACCAGGACTAAGCCAGTGATTTTGGGATAGCTTAGTTGATGAAATGTGTTCAACCCTCAGTTTGTAGGATTTGAACAATAGAACTTTGAATTTTTTTGTTAATTTCTTGCTATTTGTTTTTGGGACGGCCGTGAATTTTGAAATTTTAGTCTAGTTGTGATATGATGTATGGCATTTTGCATATTGTAATCTTGACTTGTCTAGATTCTAAAGTGGTTCCTAAATAGTCTCCCTGTATCATTGTGTTTTAAAAACAAGCTTATAGTAAGTTGACGTTACTCACTAATAGCAAGAAGCTATAGTACCTCTTAGAACTTTTATCAGGTAACTAGGGAATGTTTGGTGATAATCAGTGGGTGAGGTAGTTGATATAGGATAGGAAGTGTAGGTTAATTTAGGTTTGGGATAGTTGTGTACGGAGACGAGCAAGATAGTCATATGGCTATAGCATCCATGACGTAGTATGAAATATTAGTAATTAGTAAAATTTAAAATATTAAAAATAATATAAAACTGCAAAATAGGTTCAATTTTTTTTTTAAAATTGAAGTGCAAGTCATTTTGAAAATATAAAATTATTCTAAATTATGTGTTGTAGAAGAATATGTAGAAGAAAGCATAGCATTGGCTGCAAATCACGACAGGTGCTGCAACTAGCACTTGGCAGCTTTAAGCTGTCTTTGTGACCAGAAGCTGTCTTCGTGACCAGAAGCTGTGATTCCGGAAATGTTTTCTTGACTAGATAGGTAACTGCTTTTCGATTTCCAGGTGGTATTTTGGAGATTTGTGGTAGCATCTTGTCAATTTGCTGTTCAGATGTGGTTTATGGTGGTTTCGGGCAGAGGTTTTGGAGATTCCAGCAGTACAAGTGATGGTGCTGGATTATAGTTGTGGCCTCCCCAGTCATTTGAATTTTTGTTCTAAAATGTGTGCAATGACCTTACCTTCCCTATCGAGTGAAACAATTGGGCTTAACTGTATCACATTTTTTGTTACATGGGCCACTGCTTTGGCACACTAAATAATACTTCTCTTTTTATCAAACAATTTTCTTGTCTATCAGAAGTTTTTGCAACTCAATATAATATAAAATGAAATCATCAAAGATTTGACCTTTCCGAACTCTGTGTAACTTTCTATAGCGCTCAGATAACAAAGATCAGATGTATATGAACGGGATATCCAGCAACAAGAAGGAAAAGGATTGAATGGAGGAACTCTCAAACATTTGGCAATATTTTATTTGTTCACTATTTATACATAAGAGAATCCTGGATTAATCTAAACTAAGACTGGACATCTCCATTGATTGTAGCAGTGCACGAATATTTGTTACATGCTTACAACTAAAAATTGGAAATCTTTATTGATCATGCAGGACAAAAATTAGTACATGCTTACAAATTTGCATGATTTTCTTATTGATTAGATAAAGTTTTACCCATTCATCATGTAATTCAGAGTGAAAGTACATTTTACAGGATATACTGGAGCAGTTAACCCCACTGGTGGTTTTGCATTTTGGAGGAAATATTTTGACAAGAATCTCTCAACTTTTTGATAAATATATGGATGTGCTGATTAAAGGTCTACCTGGCCCCTCTGATGATGAGAGTCTTGTAGAGCTGAAGGAGCCCATATTGTTTAGAGCAGAAACAGATTCAGAACAGCTTGCCCTTTTGGGAATAGCATTTACAATTGTAGATGAACTTTTACCAAATGCTGTTGTGAAAGTTTGGAATCCAAAGAATGAAAGCGATGAACAAAGTGAAGCCATTTTACCTAATGGTTCCACTCCGGAACTGAAGGAATGGAAGCGCCATCTTCAGCATTCATTTGACAAGCTCCGTGATCATTTTTGTCGACAATATGTTCTGAGTTTTATTTATTCAAGAGAAGGCAAAACAAGATTAAATGCTAAAATTTATTTGACTGGGGATGGGGAAGATTATTGGGACTCTGATCATCTACCTTCACTACCATTTCAGGTTATTTTCCTTTCTCTTTTATATTGGAATTCTGATAATCTATCTTCACTACCATTTCTGGTTGTCTTTGTTTCTCTAAATTTGAAATTTTCTTCTTATTGGCTTTGGATATTATACTTGGGTGTTGTAAATGTTAGCAGTCATCTTTTGCATGCTTTTGACCTTTTTTAGCTTTGATTTATTTTGTAAATTATGCCGAATTTCTTCTGCCCTTGGCATCAGCTCCATTATTTTCTTTATTCCTGCCAATTTATGTGCAAATGTGATCATAAAATTTTAATCAAAGAATGAAGATTAAGAAAAATGGAACTTTCTTTGTGTGTCAGATCACATTTTTTTAACCTGGTTTCTGTATAAGTGTAAAAATGAAAGAAAGCAACTCGTTTATGTGTCACTGCATGTTTTGCTCCATGCTTGCTGATGGAAGATGCTTTGTTGTAATGGCTTCAGATTATGTCATCATTTCATTTTTTTTCCAAAGCTCCCCTCTCAAACAAGCTGCCTTTGCTCATGTTACACATTTCCCACCAATATATCTGGTACTGATTTTGAGATTCTTATCATATTACAGGCATTATTTGCAAAGCTGCAGCAGTTAGCAACTGTGGCTGGAGATGTGCTACTTGGTAAAGAGAAATTACAGAAAATTTTACTTGCTAGACTAACAGAGACAGTGGTGATGTGGTTGTCTGATGAACAAGAATTCTGGGGTGTGTTTGAGGATCAGTCAGCCCCGCTTCAGGCTCTTGGATTGCAGCAGGTGATTCTTCTTTTCAATGACTGGAATCTATTTTTTGTTTGTGTATATATTTGTATATGTAAATGTGAAGGTATTTTTTTTGTTTGTGTATATCTTTTGCCATAATGTGAAATCAATCCTTGTGTATATTTTAAGTCATTTTTATGGTATAATATGGATTAAATACAGATCTAACATTATAACAAAAGCGGAAACAGAATTTCTTTTGTAAAAGTATTGCAAAAAATGTTACAGCAAACAGAAACGAAAAAGGAAGAGCAGAACATGGGAAGTAATCCACAGTAACTAAGAAAAGTTGGATTAAGAAACTTATTACTGATCCTTTGTTTTATCTCCGTCCCTTAGATTTCAACTTATGCACTCAGCTTTTTGTTAAATATCTTGGCAGTTAATTCTTGACATGCACTTCACCGTTGAAATTGCACGTTTTGCGGGTTACCCGTCTCGCCATGTACACCACATTGCTTCAGCAATAATTGCTCGGGCAATTAGGACATTTTCTTCTAGAAGTGTGGATCCACAAAGGTAACTCATGGCTCTTCAAATATTCTTTTCATCATCTCTGCTTTCAACTCTCAATTTACATGGCATTGTCTCATCAGTGCACTTCCAGAGGATGAATGGTTTGTGGAAACTGCTAAGTCTGCAATAAATAAACTTCTACTAGGGACATCTGGTTCGGATGCATCAGAAATTGATGATGATCACATAGTTATACATGATGACGTAGTCTGCGATTCAGACGAAACTGCTTCTTCCCTCTCATCAGTAGAATCATTTGAATCTTTTGCTTCTGCAAGCATGGCTGAACTGGAAAGTCCAGGAGATTCAACCGATCCAGAGGGCTGAAACTTGATTTTGACGTCCTGATTCCAATTCCCATTCAAGGTGAAAGGGGTCTAGATTTTGATTTTGTAGATTCAGGTCTTAATGTACAACTAATAGAATCATGCAAAGGAAATGTTGTATTTAAGTAAATCTTGTATTATTCTCAGATGAAAGTAGATTTAAACAAATTCAAGATGGTCACTCTCCTTCCTCTTCACTATTGAGCAGTTGTTCTCATTTTGCTTCAAGATTTTACTTTCACCAAAGCAAGAGAAACAAGAGAAGCATAATGGATTTATATTCATTTTGATACACAAAAGGTTTTTCCTAACTTTCTTATATATACGTATTACATATCTATACGTTTAGAAGTTAAAAATAAAAATAATATTTAGAAATGAAAATAAAAATAAATGGTTTGTTTTGAAAATAATTAATTATTTTTTAAGGTAAGGTAGACATGAACATTTTCGAAAGTAAAAACACATACTGCATATATTTTTACATTTCAAAATGTCTGAAAAAATTAAATTTTTTTCTTATATAACAACTTAAACTTGTGCCTCTATTTAATATATGAAAAATATTTTTAATTTTTATTTTCTATATATATATATTCATGCATAAAATTGTAAAATATGTATAACAGTTAAAATATTATTTAAAAAATAAAAATAATTAAAATTTGATTGCTCTTTTTTTTTTTTTTTTTTTTTAACAAAAAAGAAAAGTAATAGCTCTATATTTATACACTTCACAAACATAAACTTAGATATACACAAACCACACATACATACTGCTGACGTATACAAATACATACAGACGGTAGAACATGTATAGCATCACATATACGCACTCATACAAATATATATAGACGTTATAAGTATAAATCATTCATATCAAAAGATGCATATGTACATGCATGGACACATACTTACATATATACATTCATATAATAAACATATACATCTTATGTTTTTAGATATCAATCATATATACATATGAATGCATGCATACAGTAGTTTGTTTCTGAACTCACAAATGTATTAAAGTCTAATTTTTATGGTTAATATTAATACAAATTTTAATCTCTTTTATTGGTATTATAGTATTAATTTATTAGATAATTTATCTATATAAAATTTATATAAAAATAAATTTGATATTTTTATTTACTTATTGTAATAAAAATATTAGTAGTCCGTAGGGATTATTTTTATCGTAATAATTAAATAATGCAATTATTTACCTGAACAAAAAGATAAGATATATATACATAAAAAATAAGTACTAATAATAAGTAAGATATAAAAAAAAGAAAAGAGGAGTTAGAAAGCGCGGGAAACAAAGTTCGTCAGTGTGGCACTAGTGAAACAAGCAGAAAAAGTGCGGGTTTGACGATTTGAGACTCTAGCCCGAGACGGATGGTTAGGGTTAGAGTTAGAGCTAGGGTTAATGTTAGGGTTTAGAGTTAGTCTGAAGAGTGAAGCAATCAAAAGGGGAAACGATGGAGGGAGAGGGACGTTCAATAAAATTAAGCCGAGACGATAATTTATCAGTGGTGAACCTCAGTGGTCACGTCCACCAGCTCCCTTGCTGCGTCAAGTACGATGGTTCTTGTGCCGTTTCTGATTACTTCAAACCCAAATCTGCCGGTAATTCCCCTCTCCTCCTCTCTCTCCTCCCTCCTTTGGGTAGTTCTCTAATAATTGCTCTTTTTTTGGGTGTAGGCATTGGGGTTGATGGGTTAAAAGTGGAAGAAGTCCATTTCAGAGGAAGGAAGCTGCAAGGAGCAACAATCCTTCTACCAGCTGGCTATTCTGGTACTTAACACAGTGATCGATAAATTCGGTGTCATATAGTTTACTGACCCTTATCTTGTTTTTACGCTCTTTCCCTAACTCTGTCCCTTATTTATTTTCGATCTCTTTTTTTTTTTCTCCCCTCATTTTTGTTAAACATTTTGAGTTTTTTGGCCCATCTCTTTGAAACCGCATCGCAGAGGACATTCCCAAAAAGATGAAGGCCTGGACATCTACCATCAGTGTCCAGATCAGAAATTCAACTGAGAATGTCAACAACTTCCGAGTTATTTTTATTAGGGCAGAGTTTTAGCTTTCTCAATATGGTCCTAGCTGTTTAATTGTTAATTTGGTTGGGTCCAGTTTCCACAATAGTGTGTCATGGTCCTGCTTTTAGATCTGGTCGCATGGTCTTCTAAAGTGAAGTCAGCAAGCATGCTACACGATTTTATGATAGTGTATTACTATAATAAATCTATTTTTGGCCTTTCTGGCCTACTCTAAAGCTCATCTACTAGAACATCTTATCTTCTAGAGAAGAATTCTTGGAATTAATAGTTGATGATTTTCTTTATGGTAATATGTTTACTACAGTAAATTGATTTTGGGTTCCTATTATAATTTTAGGAATCATAATCCTGATTTTATTCCAATTCTCTAATTTGAATATAAATAGGAATCATAAGTTCAGTTTTATCCCAATTCTCTAATATAAATTTAAATACTTAATAAAAAATTTAAAAAGAATTCTAATTCTCATTGATTCCTTAAAGAAACTGATTTCCTGGCCAACTATGTACTCAAACTCCATTTCTTTACTGCTGCTATGGTTCCCATACTTACATGTCTTTCCAATAAATCTATCCTAAAGAATTTCCTGCTGAGGCCTTTTTTTCTTTTGCAATGTAACATTTCTCCCTTCCTCGAAATGAAGCTTGTCTGCAAGTGCCGACATAGAACGTAAAGAAACCAGCTTCTTACCTAACTACAGCTCTTCGTGTGTGATTTTTGGCCAAATGTTGGTCTCATTCTACCTCGGATGCACATTGCTCAGGAGTGAGGGTTGACACACTTAAGAGCTGCTTTAAACGCCATTCGCGACTCTTCCTTTTTACTTCAACTTAACCAGTGCTCCCAATTTGTTTTTATGTATTGACAAATCTAAGGTTGTGTTAGGATTTAAATTCTTCCCAAGAGAGCTTCGGTCAGTCTTGCTCAAGCCTCATGAACTATAATTGGGAATCATCTTCAAGGTGAAAAGAGGCTAAGCCCACCTTGTCTTCTTTAGCAGTCTTTTGGTGTTGGAAGAACTGCTTGCACCAGTTAATTCACCCTAGCAGATTGGTCGAGCCATTGTAGGAAGGAAATTCTAGTTTTGTAAACCATGATATCGTACTTCCCCCTTCTGCATCACTGCTGGAGTTGGTTGACTTCTTTTATTTTATTTTGGTTCAGCTGGTAGTGTTAGGATCCTCCCTCCTTGTGGCTGAAAGTTTCAGGGAGAGGTTTTTGACCTAAGCTGTGAGCTCGTGCTGCCTCTCTTTCAAGTGGGCATAGTCTTCCTGATATTGCCTTATAAACATTGAAAACTTTTGGAGTCCCTATAGAAAATATAAGAAAATAAATTTGTTTCTTTTCTGTTTTGCCTAGTGGAGAGAATTTCAGAATGGTTATAATCATTTCTGCAATTCCTTCTCCCCATAAATTTGTTAGGAAGTTGTTATTTTGTTGCTTTATTTTTTATAAATTGTAGCACCACCAAGAATGAAATTAAGACAAGTAGAAGAAGATTTTCTATTCTTCAAATCTTCATGGTATTAGAGCAACTCTGATCCAGGATAATCATCCCAATTGAGCCACTGTCAAAAATGGCCTCGAGAGAACTACCGTCTTCTCCACCCGAGATTTCATCGGGCTCTTACCATCCTTTTCCTACCAGCCATGGCTTGGTTGAACCATCCTCATCACTCATCACTGGGCATAAGCTGAATGGTAGCAATTACCTTCAGTGGTCGTCGTCAATATTACTCTTCATCCGAGGCAAAGGTTGCGAAGAGTATCTCACTGGTGAACTCTTACCTCCACCGGCGAATGACCCGAATGCTTGAATATGGATGATTGATAACAATATGGTGATGTCGTGGCTCGTAAGCTCGATGACGCCCAACATCGCAGAAAATTTCCTTCTCTACGAGAGTGCACAGGAAATTTGGGAGACAGTTCGGGAACTCTATTCCAGCAAGAAAAATACATCAGCTATCTTTGAAATTGAGTCCACCCTTCACGAACTGAGACAAGATGAGCTAAATGTAACTCAATATTATAACCTTCTATCTCGCAGCTGGCAGCAACTAGATGCCTTCGAAGAAAGGAGATGGAACTGTCCCGAGGACGTCAGAAATTTTCGGTCATTTGTGGAGGAGAAATGTATTTTCAAATTTCTGCTAGGTTTGAACAACAACCTTGATGAAGTCCGAGGCCCAGTGCTTAGCATCAAACCATTACCTAGCATCCGCGAAGTCTTTTTCGAGATTCGACAAGAAAAAAGCCGAAGAAGAGTGATGATGGGTGATGCGCAACTCACTCAATCTGTCGAAAACGCTTTTGCACTCTCGACGAGAACTCAGGACCCGAGGGGGAAGAAAGGTCGGCCTTGGTGCGACCACTGCAAAAAGTCTGGCCATGTCCACGACAAATGCTGGAAACTCCATGGAAAACCAGCTGACCGAAAGTTGCCTAGACCAGAAACCAACCACCATGGCAGTCACGCGTCTGCTGGAGAAGCCTCTTTGAGTTCTGTGGAGAGTAGCCCCTTTAGCCCCGAGCAGCTGGAAGCACTTAAGAAAATTTTGACCCAAAAAAATTATCAGCCTCCCATCAAATAATCAGTGGCACACAAAGGTAAAATTCATGATTTATCTGTGTGTTCAGCAAAACAGGTTTGGGTGGTTGATTTTGGAGCGTCAGATCATATAACTAGAGATGTGTCACTGCTCCAAAATTACAGTAAATCTGAAGAAAATATTTTGATTAAAATTGTTGATAGGTCTGTCTCCAAAGTGGCTGGATGTGGCTTTGTAATTTTATCTCCAAATTTGACACTTCATTCAGTCTTTTATGTGCCAAAATTAGACTGTAATTTGTTATCAGTGAGCAAGCTTTGTGTAGAAATGTGTTACTAAATTTGTCTCTAATTTATATGAATTTCAGGACTTAGATTCGGAGAGGATGATTGGCAATGTTAGGATGATTTCAGAACTATACCTTCTTCAAACAGACATTTCTAGGGGACAAACTCAAAGCGCAATATGTGCAAATTCTGTTTCTATAAGTCATTTAGATAATGACCAAAATATCATGTTATGGCATTATCGATTAGGACACCCAAATTTTGTTTATATAAAAAAGTTGTTTTCTTCACCGTTTAAGAATAAAGATCCTGTTTCATTTCAATGTGAAATATGCCAATTATCAAAACACATTCACAATTCTTTTCTTAGTTTACCATATAAATCTTCTAAACCATTCGCGTTAATTCATAGCGATGCATGGAGACCTTCTCGAGTCATTAACATTACCGGAACTAGGTGGTTTATATCTTTTATTGATGATCATACAAGAATTACTTAGATATTTCTTATGAGAGAAAAATCTGAGGTTGGACTTATTTTCAAAAAATTCAATGCTATGATCCAAACACAATTTCATACCAATATTCAAGTTTTAAAATCCGATAATGCATGTGAATATTTCGAAACCTCTCTTGGGAAATATTTCACCGATCATGGCATTATTCACCAAAACTCGTGTGCCCATACCCCACAACAAAATAGTATAGCTGAAAGGAAAAACCGACACATCCTGGAGGTTGCCCGCTCAATCATGTTTACCACTCACGTCCCAAAATTTGTTTGGGGAAAGGTTATACTCACTGTCACCTACTTGATAAATCGGATGTTTTCCCGTATTCTCAATTTCTAGTCACCATATAAATTACTTTCACAAACCTTTCCTTAATCCCATATCATAAATTGCCTACCACTCAAAGTTTTTGAGTGTTCTGCATATGTTCATATTCATCCACATCTTCAAGGGAAACTTGATCCACGGGCTGTAAAATGCATCTTTGTTGGTTACTCTACCCATCAGAAAGGATATAAGTATCTAGTTCCGGGTACACGTCGATTTTATAACACCATGGATGTTACATTTTTTGAAAATCAACCTTTTTATTCCATAACTGATATTCAAGGGGAGAACTTTACTCAGGAATATCAGTTGCGGGATGTTAGCATATCTCCTCTCTATTCACCTCCTCTCTATTCATCTTATCCCACCTGGAACCTGAATATATCACCAATACTTCAGCAAAAACCACACAGAAAGAACCTGAACTAGTGTCAGGAACAGAAAATACATTTACTGCAAATAATGAGTTACATGTCTACACTAGAAGAAACAAAAACCAAGGAGGGAAGGCACTGAATCAGACAAGCCTTGCCATGAATCTGTTCCGGCTCCAGGTACTCATAAATTTACAAGTAATGAGACATCTATCCCTGCTACTGATATTGACAATGAATTGCCTATAGCTTTGAGAAAAGGGACTCGAACATGCACCAAACATCCGATACAGTACTATATCTTATTTGGTAAGTTGTCTTCAAAACATCATGTATTTGTGTGCAGGCTAGACAGTAATTCACCAGAGCCAAAGTCTATTCATGAAGCTCTGGAAATACCGGAATGGAAAGCTGTCATCCAAGAAGAGATTAGAGCACTTGAGAAAAATGGGACATAGGAGTTAACTGATCTGCCCACAGGAAAGCGTCAGGTTGGATGCAAGTGGGTCTTTACAACAAAATACAATCATAATGAGAGTATAAATCAATACAAGGCTCGCCTAGTAGTAAAAGACTTTACTCAATCTTATGGAATAGACTATCAAGAAACATTTGCTCTAGTAGCCAAGCATAATACAATACGGGTATTATTGTCACTTGCTTCTAATCTTGATTGAC